ATAGATATTGTAATAACGTGCAAAGTGTTAGGATTGGGGCATAAAACACACTCAGACCCAGGCCTGGCTTGAGGTACGGCCTCTTTCTCTTTCTTGCTCTGACACTCGCAAGCCAGGATTTTCCTATCCTGGCCTAGATCTGTTGTGTAAAAGCAGCAGCTAGAGCCAAATGTTGAGATGCAGAGACAGGTTTATACAAAGGTGTGACGTTGACATGCACTGATTGTGTCAAAATAGCTAGGCACTAAATGGCTGGTACAGCTACAAGCTGTTCACCATAGCAAGGGAAAGGGCATCCTGTAGAAACTCAGCCATACACAACATGAAATTCTTCCCAGATTCCCCGGGCCGGAAATGAAATCACTTCCAGATTGGCCACAGACTTCTCCAGCCCTTTCAAATCAGATAAGGTACACATTTTAGACAAACAGACAGCAATACCATTTTCAAAGTTCTCTGCCTGGAAAGCCATCTTTGCTTGTCCTATCTGATTACAACACTGCTGCAGTGCAGAGCCAGTGTGGACAGGAGCTGTGATTTACCGACTGTCTAATTAGTAATAACAGGATAACGTGCCGCTTCTCTACGTCTTTGCCAAGGATCTGGGTATCAGCGGGGTTAAAGTATTACAAGAAGATACAGATAGCCACACAGTTGTCACTATTCACTAGCAAGGCTACAAATCTGCTTAAGACTGTGCTCACAAGACGGGCTTGGGAATGTCCCTTCCAAGAGTCACTACAATAGAAACCATCCATTGTTCGCCAGGACAGCATTCATCAACTGGTCCCAAGAGCTGTTTTCTCTGAAGAATGCAGTTCAATTAACATGTGTCTTCACACATATGTGCGACACATGAACCTAGTCTGTATCCAAGTGAGTCCGGTGAATTAGCGAAGATGTGAGAGGCTGGGGTCCCACTGCAGCTGGGAAGCTGTCACTTGATTTTATGCTCCAGGTCCCAGGGATCACTTCCTTCTCAGAAAAACTGTAGTATCTGTTTTCTCAACTGCTTCTCCTGGAATCTGATCATTTACTCTCACCTTGTTATTTACTTATGTCCATCAGTCTTCCCTCTCTTGTTTAACTTTAAATTCCCTTTTTTGGACACTGCAGGGACACAGATTATGGTGACAGTGCTATGGAAACGTGGGCTCCCAGGTTAGATTATTTGAAAGATGTCTTGTGAAAATGCTGTTTTAGCAAAACATAAGCAGTTAATTTCCTTAGCACAAGGCAGTAACTTCTGGGGATGTGCTGCCTTTCCTACTATCTTAAGTAGTTGAGAAAATCAGATCATCAAGCAAAAGAAAAGCTTAACTTTTGGCTATTTCTGTGAAGGCAAGCATTCAAAACCCTAATCAGTTTAAGGAGATAGCATTCCCACACTGTCTCCGGAGGAGCACAGAGCCACTGCGTGCACGTCCAATTAATTACCTAACAGAAAACATCTGAAGATAGGAGCGGCCTTCCAGGCAAGAGGGAAAATAAACAACTCAGCAAAGATTCTGTGAAATCCAGTAGAAGCCTGCTGAACTTAACTGATGAACTCAGATCAAACTACCTCGTACTTATTGATTACGTGAAAACTATGAGATTATAAAACCTGCAGTGATTTGCACTAAAATGCATTTATGGTATCTACAGAATATAAGACATCCTGCCCACTGTGTCATATCTCTGTAGAAAGCAGGACTTAGTCAAAAGAGATGTGCACTGGAGATACGCCAGTTTCTGTTGAGGATACTGGTGGTTTGCAAACAATAGCGTCAAAGTGTTCCTCAAAGAGACATGGGAAAAATGATTTCCAAATTTCTAAGGCTGTGATGTTCTGACCCAGCCAGGTAAATTTCACTGCCTCTGAGCTGAGCCTACTACTGTCCTGTTTTTAAGAATAACAAAGTAAAATCAATTTAATGTGTAGACATTTGGGAATATCAAAGCAACCTGAGGATAGAAGGTGTTCCGCTGTACCTCCTAAGTAAACCAGTGATTTAATACAGCAGATTCGCATTCCACGATTCCAATCATTTTGTTGTTACACTGCTCGGCGTTTCTAGGGCTGGGACACTCTGAAAGCGCGTAGGAGGTGGCAGCCACTGGAGTGGGTCCATTTCTCCTCCTGACCTACCAGCCTAAAGCACATTTCTTTCTTAGCTGACTTTGGGCTGAGAGAAGGGGAACCAGATATGAAACCTTAGCTCAGTGAAGCTTGAGGCGTTTCACGTCACGAAATTGATTATTTTAACAGGACTTCCAAGACAATAAGGGGAAGTTTAAAATGTCCTTGTCAGCGGCAGGAAGGGCTCCTTCCCCTTCTCAATGCTGTGTGAACCATAGGACCTGAAATGTTTATGCTCAAGATGAGAAGAAAGTAGACCTTGTCTATTTTTGTTAAAATGATGGAATACTAAACCATTCGCTATTGGCCTAGGCCAAGGTTACAAGAGGCCTTTCAAATCCATTCAGTTATCGCCTTTTAAGTCACAAATTCAGAATGGTCTAAGGTAGAGCTTGCTAGCATTTTATTTTAAATGTTCTTTATGGGATTAAAAACAAACAAACAAAACAAAACAAAACTAAGAACCCCAAAGTTGGCAATGGAGATGTTGGAGCATACAGGAGCAACTCAGGCCGAAAACAGTTCTGGGGGTGCTGGGGTCCCTGGCCTGGGTCCCCTGGTGGGAAACCTGGCTGAGGCCCCACCAGGAGGAAAGCAGGATCCTGCCCCTTCATCCCGGTCCCAGCCAGGCTCTGCTGACTCCCAGTGTCAAGGCTGAAGCTGGCTCCTGTAGGAAGCTGGCATGAGACCTCCCTTGGGGCACACCTTCCACCTGGCCCCGCGTTTTCCGGCCTTCCTGCCCTAAGCAGGGCGCAGGCCACAACAGGCACAGACCTCGCTGCGGGAGGGGGCCGCCCCAGGGCTCCTCCTCAAACAATGTTAGACACAATGGCCCTCAGGCCAGGTGCCAGGGCGCCTGCTCCACACACTGTAGTCCACTCGAGTGGAAGCGGCTTTGCCTGTGAGGGGTGCCACCTGGTTCTAGACGTCAGCTGACAGGTCAGAAAGCTGCACCCGAACACTCTCCCTTGTCATGTTTTGATGAGTGGATTTTTCGGAAAAAAACTAAGATAAATTAGGCTAAAAAAAAACTAAAAGTTTTTTGGGTTTGGGGTTTTGTTTTTGAGTTAGAGCCTCACTCTGTCACCCAGGCTAGAGTGCAACGGCGCGATCTCGGCTCACTGCAACCTCGGCCTCCTGGGTTCAAGTGATTCTCCTGTCTGAGCCTCCCGAGGAGCTGGGGCTATAGCCGCACACCACCACGCCGAGCTGACTTTTGTACTTTTAGTAGAGACTCAGTTTCGCCATGTTGGCCTAGGTGGTCTCGAACTCCTGACTTCAAGTGTTTCACTTGCCTCAGCCTCCCAAACTGCTAGGATTACAGGCATGAGCACCATGCCCGACCTAAAACATATATATATATATATATGTGAAAGTTTATAGGCACAGACAGAATAAGAAGGTTTGTAACGCTCCAGAGCCAAGGAAGGTGCTGCAGCAAGGCCTGCCAGCCGGACGGAAACAGATGGGAATGGAGGGAGACATCAACCCTGCTGTCCCTCAGAGCAAGCAAGGCCGACTTGGCTCCAGCCCTGATGCTCTCAAAGCCACGTGGAAAACAGAGTAGTCATGTGCAGGCCTGAACTTCCTCTTGGCAGGTACCCCAAAGTGCTCTATTTTATAACTTCAAGGACTTTTTTATGAGTTTGATCAACTCACATGTATATTTCAAATTAGATTTTCAACAAAATGTCTGTGGCATGAGAAACACTTGTCTCTACTTTAAAATAACACTTGAACATGAACATTGGAAATTGCTAGAAAAAAATTCCAAAGTAAGAGAACAAACAGCATGAAGATGAATTAAGTCAATAAGGAAAGATGTGAGACTGTCTTACATACTTCACTCAGTCAAAAACTGTCCAGGTGACACGAGGGCTACCAACTATCAGGCATATTTTTAAAAATAATAATGCTGGCATTTCAGCAAATAGCCAAAAAGAAACCACAGAATTTTCTGTACAGTAGAATCTTCTGAATCTCAAAAGCATGAGAGTGTGGCCCAAAAAACCTCTGGTATGCCAGGGCGGCAGGTAAGAATTCACACACTGGCCGGAGTGACACCTTCAGCTTTCCGGAAAGTGTCCTACAGCACACTCCAGTCTACAGGCTCCCAAGCCGCTGTGCGCACCTGCACCAGAGGCCGAGTGGCTTAAGGTGGTGGCGTTTCCTCGTAGCCACACCTGGCTTCCATGGTGACCCACAGACAGTATGAGGACACCGCACTGTTCCCTAGACAAAAAATGGTCAGGCGCCCTCTTTCCAGCCAACTGAAATGCACAGACTCAGCTTGCCTTCCAGAGAAAGTTACCTTTGTCTGGATCCCTTGTTCTTAAATGAGAGAAAGGGGGAGAGCTTGCTTAGAAAGAAATATATTTTAATTTTACATGTGGGAAACACTACGTTTTCCAAACAATATTTTTATAAATAAATATAGACAAGCATGTGATGGATTAAAAAATGGTTTAAAAATACTAATTTGAACAGCAGGCCCTCAAGTAGAACAGGAACTAGTTTCTTTTTCCAGAAAAATGCTAAAATTAGTCCTTATACCTCAATTCCAAAAAGTACAATCAGTTCAACAGATTTTCTGCCAATACACTTGTTCCTCTTAGAGTCAAAAAGGAAAATAAACCAACTATCTTTTTCTACATTAACTGCCACATACTATTACAGTCTTTGTAGAATAGCTATTATAATCATATTACTACTCAGAAGTAATGTCAAGCCTGGTTTTGCTTCATTTGTATTGCTCTGGGGAAATAATTACCAAAACAGCAACAAGGCTTTCACCTGAATTGCTGATCATTCAGTTAACGTCAGTGCAGTACTGTCCAATACAAGAGGAAATGTTGTGATTTAAATTTCGGCTACTCACCTTCTGTCCCTTCACTCCATGGCAGTCACATTTACCACAGCCAGAGCCAGCACAGCCTCCCTGGAAGGAAGAGAAAACACGTTTAAATAGAAGAACACTTTCAAAGCGAGGTGGATCTGTGAATGGAGATGATTCTGGCAGGCTGACCTGTTCATGAGAGAAGCCTGCCCCGGCCTTGGGACACAGTCTTATCGGCCCTGAGTTCCCCGGGGCTGTCACGCGCTTCCACTTAGTGCAGATCCCTCGCCCAAACAGACAAAACAAAGATCCTTGAGTAGAACAAATCAAAGTGCTACTTCGTCCAAAAAGTGAACAATGTCACCTGTATTTTTTGTCCTTTGTGAATTTCTCTGTTTGAAGCTGACTCCCTCGGGGATGGTTCTGGCAGGGCACCCCCCACATTGGCAAACCTACCGAAATGCCATGCTTCTTATTCAGAGGTGTCAGGCATGAGACCACCGGGAGACTGAGAGCTCCCGAGGACGAGGACGCCGTCCCAGGGACACACAGCCATGCAAAGGAAGTTTGTACAGAGACAATAAAGGAATGAGCTGCCTTTTAAGCCCAAATCTTAAAGAACTCCTTTTTGAATTCAGTTCAAGCTTGAATGTCCCATTAAAGAATAGCCAACACCAAAACATTCCTGTAGTTCATTTCCTTTTTTTTTTTTTTAAGACAAAGTGTCACTCTTGTTGCCCAGGCTGGAGTGCCGTAGCACGATCTCGGCTCACTGCAACATCCGCCTCCCCGGTTCAAGTGATTCTCCTGCCTCAGCATCCCAAGTAGCTGGGATTACAGGCATCTGCCACCACACCTGGCTAATTTCTTGTATTTTTAGTAGAGACAGGGTTTCATCATGTTGACCAGGCTGGTCTCGAACTCCTGACCTCAAGTGATCCACCCTCCTCGGCCTCTCAAAGTGCTGGGATTACTGGAGTCAGCCACCGCAGCTGGGCTGTAGTTCACTTCTAACATAAAAATTCATGTTAAAAATGCGAGGAAATAAATCCAAGCATGTGATAAAAGCTGGAAAGGAAGCGAACTACCATGCCTTCAGACGCCTGCCAGGCCCCACACACAGTCAGCTGTCACCTAATATTTATTGTTATCAGTCATTTCAAGATAGGTAGTGCCATCCCCATTAATAGGTGTAGAAACTGAATTAGAAGGTTTGGTATAACATGCTAGGACAAAGCGGAAATCAGAAACCAGCTTTAACTTCCACTATGTAAAACTGCCGTCACATGAAAAGATAGAAGACGTGACCATATGTACACGCATTTGCAGCTCCCTGAGAAGAACCCCGGTTTTAGCATGACAGACACAGGTATTGTGGACGGAATGTAAAGAGGTACGGCGTGAATCATTTGATTAATACGCTTTATTAGAGGCTCTGCTTTAAATCTGATACAAAATGTTTACTCATATTCTACTTTAGGTGATTACCGTTTCCTGAAACTAAAATCATGCCACGAATAGTACTGTGATCATGCAAAGTGTACATTTTCAACAACGTAGTATAGTCAAGCCTCAGCTACATCGCCATTGAGACTTCTGCATGAAACAGTCACATCTGGAGACATTTATTTTGTAAATCTAAATCTGAACAAGTGCCTCCAAGACAGTAAGCTGTTCTCAATTTTGTATTTTGGAAATGGGGACAGCTGACAACAGTCCAAGCAAACCAGAAACGATGGGTCCGTGTTTTTCTCTGACTCACATTTTAGGCAATTTTCAGCCTACACTCTCATAACCTCCTAACATTTTAAATCAAACCATGTGCACAGATTTGCTCATAATCTGGGTTTTGGCGACCATGCAGAGGCATCCTAAGAGACGATGAGGTCAAAATCTGTAACCTGTACCCCAGGAGGTCCACCCAAAGCGGACAAACACCAGTACCGAGAGAGTTCACCAGAGGTACCTGACGCAGCCAGCACTACCACGTGTCTAACCCCCAGGTGAGGGTCACCTGCTCCCTCCCTGGCTCCTTCGAAGTGCTGACTGCATGCCTCTATTGTCAGGCTTATCACGTTTCTCCTTCTTCACTTACTTCTGTGTCTCCCTGGTACACCCTGAGTGCTTTGGGGACAGCCAGCCCCACGTACAGCTCACACCAGGCTCCCATAGCAGTGAGCCTGATGTGAGCTGTATTTCATCTAGAACTACAGCAATTATAAAACCCACACTAAGAAATAAAGAATGGTACTAATGAAACGATGACACATTATCAATTGTTAATCTATCCCATTTTCAGCGTTGTTAAAACATTAATTAATGCACATCTTAGAACTGAGGAAATCTGTACCCAATTATGGTTGTGTTCTTGGGCTGTTACTGGTGTTGCCCATCTAAGCAACCTTAAATCGCAACTGTAGACGGAAATCCAGTGGTACCGCGCACCTCAGCTCACAGTGATGCATTCCTGCACAACCGTGTTGTGGGACAGAGCTCCAAACGGAACTGGAAACGCTTGCCTGACCACACCAGATCCCAGAGTAGCCAGGGAAGAGCTGGGGACTCTTGGGGGTACACTGGCTCCTGGAGCCCCCCGGAGCAGCTATTCCATCACCAGGTCACCTCCAAGCCTCTGGGGTTCTGGGGCAGATTCTTTGCTGGGACTATGCCACTGCCCACAACCTGTTTGCTTTTGAGCCAGGTTTAGAAACACATCTCTGTTCTTTAAACTCTGTTGTACTTCATCTCCCCCCTGCAGATATCGGAAGGAAAACCCACCGGGCTAAGTCTCATGTATCTGCAGAATCCATTTAGGAAGTGTCCACCAGTCACCTGGACTTAGCTGGCGGAAGCCCGACACCAGCCTGAAGCAGCGTGGATTTTCCGCTGGTGGGTCAATTGCTTTCTGGGAAACAGCAGATGAAGCAGGGATCCAAAGGACTGAAGCTGAAAATGGCTATGTGGTGACCTAGAGTTTTCTCTTCTGAAATGTTGATAAAATCTCAGAAGCTTATCTTTCTGCAATGTGAGGGAGGTTATAAAGATGAACTTCTTTGAACTGTGCCCTTAAGCCATCCGTGAATGCCTCCATTGCTAGGGATTGCAGGTAAGAGGCTGCGGTGGATAGCTGTACCCTGGGGACCACGTCAGGTCCTAACAAGCACCGGGGCAAATCGGAGATGAGGAAGGACTAAGCCCCCACCCCCGGCCTGCCCCCACCCGCTTACGCTTTTTCATAAGCAAGCATGTGTTTTAAATCCTAGATCAAAAACATTTATGGCTTTATTCACGTAGGGAATTTTATTATCAGTTCTGGCCCTAGAAGACAATTCTAAAAAACTGATCATTTCAAAAATATCTAAATTAGGGTCAGCTTTTCAGAACAAAAGATGTCTAAGACCATGATTTTTGTATCACATTCTGGGCGGCCTAGCATTTTATGTAAATGGTTTTGTTAAATTTAAAAAACAAAAAACAAAAAACTAGCTTTTAGAATGACAGACAAATATTCTAAGATATATGTTTACTTTATTAAATAATATCTGTTCTGAAATATCACTATTCTTGTCCTTCCTAATTTCTGTTATATAAGGGCTCATGCTAGGTTTTACCCTGGCATATGAAGGTATTTTAGCTGCAATTCAAGGGTTCACTCCTAAAAAAAAAAAAATATGAATGATGACCTGAGTACCTCCTTTCCGACAGGGGTAATGTATAAGCTTGATATAGTGAATTAAAATAAAAGCCTTAAGCAATATAAGTCTTAATTCTCTGTTGTGAATTACTATGTTTGAAAGGGGTACATAATTAATGCGGGTTTCCCAGATTCACAATTTCACTGGTGACCTGACACGTGAAAGGCTATGTCACCATTTCATCATTTCCTGAGGAATCACATCTTGCATCTGGACTCAGAAAAATCCAGAGATATATGCAGGCTGGCGACTCTGCCCGCTCCCTGCTGGCTGCACGTCTGAGGGTCTGCATGAGGGCTGAGCATTCTCCCTGCGTCTGGAGTATGTTGGCCCCACACAGGAGCTCCCATTTCATCTGTTTCAGATCTAGAACAGGAAGAACTGGTACATTCTGTGCAATACTCATTCTCCTTCTTCCTGGTTTTCCCCTCACTGGTGTTCTAGGGTCAATGAGTTCGAAGTTCCTGGAGCAATGCCTGTTTTGTCTGCCTGGGAGGCACGCACTTACCCCAAGTGGTCAGGAGGATGAAGGTCGGTCACGAAGGCAGTCTCTAACTGGAGGACAGGGAATATGGCTGAGAGTTCTCAAAGGCAAGAACAGCGGGGGGCTCAGTCTCTCTTATAGAAGTAGACCAGACATGGAAAACAGCAACATGGGAACCCCATACCAAGGCAGAAAAACAGGACCCTAGAAAAGTCTCGAGGTTTGGGGGCGGAATTTATTATTTATGCTCCTAAAACAGTAGGCAAATTTCATGAAAACCAAGTCGATTTTGAAAGTCCTTTTAGCCTCTTCCCAGCAGACCATGCGGTCTACAGAACATAATAAGTTGTCTCAAATGGAAGCTGAACGGAATTAATTGTGTTTGAAACAGAAAAAAAGAATAATAAGAGTCCCCAGTGGACTCTGTCAGACACACACATGCACACCTAACTTCAATAGCAGAGATCAACTTTAAACGAAAACAAAAAATACAATATGACAGGAATGCAAAAGGTACTACAAAGTAATCCCCAAACCAAGTATCTTTTATACTCTCTAAAAGTCTGTTACACTTTTCAGGGTATGTTAAAACAATTACAATTGTGAGGCTTTTCTTTCGTGCCCCAATGAAGATAGTCAGAAACGCACCATCAGTATTAATGTTATAAAGTATATTAAGTTCTGAAAATGCACAAAGATTTTACAATACACAGTACACGTGCCCAAGAAAGAAGGAGACGAAGAGAAGACAATGGTTTTCATAGGAAATCAAGCCTCTTTCCGATTTTCTCTGATCTGCAGACCAAGGGGGCGCTCTTCTCAACATGAAAGTGAATTCCATGCCAGAGGAAGCTCACTCATTCTGTTTGGAGAATGCCTTTTTAACTTAACCGAAGAACGCCAGCTGCTATGCTACTTGTGTG